TACTCCGGTGTCCTGTTATATTTTAGATAGCAAGGAGTTTATTAAACTTCACCGAAACAATCTGCAAATGTCATTAAAATTTAACAAACTATCATCTTGTCTTTATTTTTAGTTAGCACAGACCTGAAACACTTAAAGCTGTAAGCTAATGATAGTTATATAAGAGCAGATGGATGATGATCTGATTAGTCCACTAAAAAGCAAAAATTATCGGTGACTAGTCGACTATCAAAATAATCGTTTGTGGCAGCCCTAGTTGGGAACAGAAAAATCTACTTTTTTGGGTCACATTTAACAAAAGAAACTAGCAGAAAAATCACCTTTAAACTGGTTTCTGAGTATTTTTCTACAAATCTATTAATTTACAATCTTTGCAAGCAAAGGTACGTTCACTGTTCAGCTCACATTTAACAAACAAGATCAATCGATATCGACAGCAGAGGCGAATAATTTCCTCCAATAAGATCATCTGTAAACATTTATGCTGCTCATATCTGATCAAACACAATCAAGAAACACAACAACGTAACACAAAAATGTCTGCAGGTCATTTGTGTGATCAATAACCAACCGATCAGTGATCTTCAGTCAGACACTCGTCTGACAAAGTTCAAACATAAACATCACCTTGAAATTTGTTTCAGATTCATTTTTATTAATGTGTAAACTCAGCTGAATACTCATTAACCATGAAGGGAAGATCTTTGTAAGCATGGAGGCAGGAAAAGACGCACAACAAACTTTCTGTAGGAATTTGGATTAATGGGAACACAAAGAGCTGTAACAGAGAAACTAGTTCATAGGTATGTTTTATGGGTTCATTGTCTAACCAATCAATCACCGACATGCAGGCATTTGAGTGGGAGAGCTCATTTACACCAACAAACACAAAAATCACCTTTAAATTAGTTTCTGACTCATTTTTGTATCAATGTGTCCCCCGACTCTAATTACAAGCAGGAAAAGGACTCAAACTAAGTCAGTATTTAGTCCTGCAGAACCAGTTTCAGCCCCTGAATTAGTTGCATACATGTATTTAAGTTAATTACAGTGAGAATATATGATAAATGCCAGCATGAAGTGAGCTTTCTGTGTCATAAACATGCCATTATCCAGTGTAGCCCAGTCTACCAGTATCTTTTTCCTTTTTTCCCCCGTGGCCCTGGGGGAGGGCTGAAGCAGTGCTCCAGCCTACCACAGGCAGGAAAATAAGAGGCACATAATATAATCTGAGCTGTGAGAGGCAGCCCTCTGTCTAAAACGCACACACACACACACACACACACACACAGGAATTTAAGATGGAAACCCTTAATCTGCACCATGCCTGCGTCAGTTCTCGTGATATTTCTGACAATAATGCAGTGAGATTTTTTTTCTAACACTGTTTTCAACCCAGGAAGGAAGAGAAATTAAAAAACGTCTCCTGCTTTGCACATAAATAAATAAATAAACTAAATAAAGCGAGCAGTATTGACCTTGGGTATATCCTGTTATTCAAAAGCTCACAAGTTCAGCACTGAAGGAAAAACTCTCAGTGTTGCAATAAATTAATATTTAAACAGAGACATTGTAAAAATATACAAGCAGCACTGGAATATTAAATATCTACATCCACGCAGCGCCACACATGGAGCATTTCAGTCCAAATAAATGACTTTTATTTCTTATAAAGCCCACGCTGCCCTCGCTGTGTGTCCTCTGGCGTGTTTCCTGCTCGCTCGATTTTTATTTGATTTTGATTTTTTTTTGCACTTGAAATAGCCTTGACCAAAAAAAAACAACAACTCCACATTTCAGTTCCCCTTCACGCAAACACACAATAATAAGATTCCTCCTTAAAACTGTGCCAATTACAGCGGAGACAAAATGTCGGGAGGATTTGATCATAATATCAATATGCTTCCTATTAAAAGCAACACTGCTCCACCTAGTCCTGAAAATATTTCTAATCTCTAATATCACGTCGGGCTGGGAATTAATTCTCATAAAAATGGAGAACATGTCGATGGCAGCTCGGCTGCTTTTTCTTTGGGGCTGGAAAAAAACAGGAGGGTAAAAGTTTCCTGATATTTTCAGGGCAAGAATTTAATTTTATTTTGAGCTAATGTGCTTCTTGTTAGTGTGGGTGGGGGTTGGTAGCCGGAGGAAGAAACTGTCGACACGACACACAAAGAAATTAATCATTAACACGGAGAAAATATCAGAAATATTAAACTGGAATTTAACGGCTGGGTAGGATAGGAAACGAGGCGACAGCTCGGTGTCACAGCCCATTGTTTCCCCCCACGAAAAATACAAATATCACCGATTTATTAGGAGCCAGAAAAAAGTTGAGCCTGGCTGAATAAAGTTGTAATTGCAGTCAGAGCAACTCTCCGTGCCTGGGTTTGGCTGATATGAGAAAACACTCAATACGACATGGCCAAAGTAAATGAAATAAAACCCAGAATTCAGGCTTCAATCCGCGCCGACGCTAGCTTAAAATATTCTCCACGTCAACAGGTCAAAAAACGGCCGGCCACCAGCGACATAAACGGCTTTATTTGGAAATTACATCGGCTTTACCTGTATTGCATTGTGCTCCATTGCAGTCCTGCATTCCCCTCTCTGTGAGGCCCTTCTCCGGTTACGCCGCCGGGACTCGCCGACACACAAACAAACGCACCAGAGGAAGAATAAAAAAAATAAAAATAAAAATAATAAAGCTTTTTTTTTTTTTTTTTTTTGGACAGGATCTAGGTGTGGCCAAAGTTTGCCACAGAGTACAACTTAATGTTAAAGTCACTCTCACAGCGGAGTTGGAGCATCTTTAGCTTCAGAAACGTGACGTATTTCCGACCGACACGGAACACGAGGGCGGGGTTTACACACGGCAGTTTAAACCCAGTAACACGGTTATTATTTTATTTTACTCTTTACTTCATTCCATTTCAAACAGTTTAACCGCAGCGGCTCCTTTTAGCGGATTTTAAAAAGTAATAATATCGACATGAAGGATGTTTATACAACATATAACTACATTAGTTTATTAAAGGAAGCTAATTATAAAGCAATAACTACAATTATAGCTGTGGCGACCAATAAATTAAAAAAAATAAAAATAGTTCACTGAAATAAAAGTGGGAACAATAGTATGAAAAAATATCTTAGACAACTTTATGTATTTGAAAAAAAGGAAAGAATCAGGAGATGTAATCAGTCTTTACCCCTTTGGGTTGATTTAAATCTTTACCCTGATAAATACCCCCTATATCAGGTTTGTCAAACATGAGGCCCAGGGGCCAGAATCAGCCCAGGAAATACTCGGACTTAGACATTCATACTATACCAACGTTATTAAGTAATATGCAAACAAGTAAATGACAGAACTGATTTTGCCAGCTGCTGTAGAAATATCTTTTTACACTGTCTCCACAGTTTAAAAATGGATTAACAAAACTTCTTATTTTACACATTTATTATAATTTAAACCCACAGAGTTGTGCTGACAGATTCCCTTCATGCATTTCTTTATTATGTACAAAGACTCAGCTAAACCTCTTTAACACCAACATAAATGAACTTTCACTGCTTCAGTCCACTCAAAGTTTTTATAATAGCAAAAAATTGTAAAACAAATGCTCAACTAATGGCAAACTAAACTGAGCAGCAGTTGGGTCGTCGAACATTTGGGTCCAGAAAAAAAGCAACAGGAAAAAAAAAGTATATTTTATTTCTGGTTCTGAAGAAATTTCCCAACTATGTTTTTAATGCGGTACATCTTCTCTTATGTTAAACCACGTGACTAAAAACATGAAACAAGCCCTTTTTGTTGATGTTACATGTGTGTACCAAATGTCACGCATGCAGGTGAAACACAGCCCCGGGGCTGCTTTATGAAACAATATTGTAGGTGCTGCTTTTATGTGCACAAGCCCCTCGCCTCAAAAAATGTCTACATTTTTCAGGTTTTCTTCACCTGCAACAACATTTTTTTTAAACATTTCTGTATAAATTTGACCTCCTGACTAACATGTATTTATTACACAGAGACTCAAAGTAACAATCAGTCAGAAATTAAAAGACAGGATTAATCCTTATCAAATCTTCCGAACAAAACCAAATAAATAAGTCACGTAGCTATAATACTCTTTTTCTTTTCTTCACCTCTTATCCAAGAGGCTTCTTCAGTTCTCCAACCAAAAGGTGGAGAGTCCCAGGTCTTTAAATCTTAGTGGGGGTTGTCCCCTTTGGAGCTGGTCGTTGACCCACTATTAATCATGCATGTCATGAGCCAAGGTGTGAATGGGACAACCCCCAGTAGGGTTTACAGACTCTCCTTCTGGTGAAGCATCTCAGGCTACGTCCACACGTACATGGGTATTTTTGAAAACAAAGATTTTCCGTTTTCGTTTATTAAAAAAAATCCTGTCCACACATAAAAGCCAAAAACAAAGGAAAACGCTGCTAGGAACATGCCAAAGCAGCAGGTGGCGCTATATTCCTATCCGTGTAGAAATGTTGGCCAATCAGAAGTCAATAAGCCTGGGCGGGAAAGAGTAAACAAAGATGGCGCATAGAAGCAGAACTGAGTCGTATGTGTGGAGGGACAGTAACTGTGTGTGTATGTGTGAGCATTTAAACACTGCAGAGAGTAGAATTAACAGTAACAGTATTTTGTCTACGTCCGCAATTGTAGAAATTCATTTCACTGAAACAATAACGTGGCGCACAGTGTGACGTCAAAAAATGTGCACACCTTTGACACCTCGTCCACACGTAAACGAGTTTTTGAAAATATCCACCCTGGCAGGAGTTTTTAAAAATCTCAGTTTTCAGTGACCAAAAACGGCGTTTACGTGTGGACGAAAGGCGCAAACGCATAGAAAAATCTGCATTTTCATAAATACCCAGGTACGTGTGGACGTAGCCTCAGAGTCCACACTAGTTTAATTGATCACATGACTGCATCATATGACTAACATGCGTCATTCTTTTCGAAAGTCTCCGTTTTTGCTGTCCACACTGCGACGCGATAGCACCGTCTTCAAATGTACGCGTTTTCAAGGGCGTGTTCAAAACGCTGCGTTTTCCTTCGGGGTAAACGGCGTCTCAGTGTGGACGGGAGGCCAAAACGGAGAGAAAACAATGCGTTTTCAAACGAAAAGGCATTAGTGTGGACGTAGCCTCAGAAAAAGTCCAGCTCTTATGAATATCATGATCTGGATAACTGAGAACCTACACAGACTCTTCGTACCATGTTTTTATGTTTTTTGTTGCAGTTTTGAAATTATAGAAGTAAAATAAGGAAAACTGCTGACTTTTGAGTTTTTCTTTCCTTTTTTTTACTAAGGAGGGGGGATTCTGAAGTGGAAGGGAATATGTATATTAGCACAGGGCTACGACACCTTCATTGTTTTAGTTCTATAGTTTCATAATATCCTACAAAATCACAGCATTATTGTAAAGAACTGGAAGGTTAAGGTACCAAATAACCATGGAAGGCCTCTGCAGATACCCACCGGTGGTGAAAGACTCATTCCTCTTTTTTTTGTTTCGGTGACAAACTCCTTAAAATGTCTTTCAGAGTTTTTCAGTCCAGTCTTGTACCTGACCTTTTTGAGCATTTGTGTCCAAACATAACAGACAACTTGGCAAAGAAGAAAGTTTTAAATGGTATCTTCAGGCACTTTTTTATTAGCAGCTTTTCACAAAAACACTTTTGTTCCTATTTCTTTAGTCTAATCTATGAAAAATACCAAAGATAACACAGTTTGACATAAAACAGCATTTTTGCACCAACAAGCTGATTCCCAAAGAGCTATCAGCTGAAGACTTGGCACATCTCAGCCTGCTGTGCAGTCTGTTATTTAGAATTTGAGGAATCTGAACAAGTGGAGGACAAAAGAAGTGGCCTAAGAAAAACTATGTACAGCAGATAAACATTGTCTGAAAGTCAAGTCCTTAAAAAAAACCCAAAACAAGAGACACATGTGGACCTTCAGCAGGTCTCAGTGCGGTTGTCAAGGAGCCATCGTTAAGGAAGGGAAACGGGTTTTCAGCTCATGCATCGTCTCTCGATGTATGTTTCAGTCATTTCACATTTTCTGGAAAAATGTAAAGAAATGAGGAGTGGCTCAAGACTTTTGCACAGTACTGCAACTCCACAACTATAAGGCCAATAAGAATAACGCTGAGTGTGTGGATAGTTCGTGAGTATCCCTGTGACTGTTTTTGAGAGTGTGAGGTCATTCAGGACCTCCCCGACTATATCTGCACTGAAATACTTAAACACACTACAAAACTCGTCGATTAGAGGTTTTAGTAAAGACACGGGGAGATCCACGCTCCAGTTTTTGCCTCTTCACTCTAATCTGACTGCAAAATATGACCGTGTCCCACTGCAAGAGCTTTTATGGACATATGCAACTCTTTCTAACGACCACTACATGACCAGATCCGACTATTGTGCACAAATATATCAAAAATATGCTACAATTTGGCCTCCAGATGGACTTTAATGATGGGGGTTGGGATCATGTGTTGAACTTCCAGAAAGTTATGCAGGATGTGCAACCGTAAAACAAATGAGTCAAACTTTCCTGCTCAGACTTGCACAGAGTTCATTTGTCGTCAGCATTTAGAAGCCTGATGTATTTTTGGGACACTTATTACGTAATGTTTACACATTTCATTCTTTCATTTCTTTGTGATCCAGAACCTAAAAGAAAGAAGGCGCTTCCTCAAGCTAATCGTGTTAAAGTGACACAAGTCTGGGATTAAAGGACTTAATAAAGTCTTCATTCAGCCTGCAGTCACGTCATTAGTAATAACTGTGAACGTATATTTGAAAGACACGAGGCTGGATCAGAGCAACATTTACAATTAACTTTCCAACAGGATATTGTTTAAGGGTAGAACTTGAGTAAAAGATCGGGACTTATGTTATGTTATGTTATGTTATGTTATGTTATGTTATGTTATGTTATGTTATGTTATGTTATGTTATGGTAGAGTCTATGCAGAGTCAAACTAAAGGGATAACTCCTAACACAGACCGGAGAAATAAAAAACAAGCTTTTATTTAGGAAAACCGAAGAAGCGGGGAGGTCACCCAAAGACCAGACAACAGACCAGAGGACGGTGGGACTTTCTAAACCCCCGAGGTAAACAGGGAAACAGCCAAGGGAAAGAGACAGGTGAAGACAATCAAGACAATCACAAAACTCAAAGTGAGGCAGCTAAACACAGACACACAACACAGGCAGGAACAATCCACTCAAAGTCTTCACCAGCAAACAAAAAACACTGACGAGTAAAGAAATGCAAACTACAGCGACACTGAACAGTGACAGAAACTCAAATACAACAGCTGAGACTCCAGAGACTGAAAATGAAAAAGAGGAATCCAAAAACCCAACAGGACTCTGAACAGATCTATTTAAATTTAAAACCTCTAAAACAGCAAACAGTGTGTGGTTTGGTGCTCTGTGGAGTGGGTGTCTGGGTGGGTGGAGGCCTTGGTGGTCCAATACCTGAGATACAAATCTGGATTTAGGGACTTTTTGTCCCTATTTGTTTTTATGAAACGAGCCTCTGCTTTAATGTAATTCTTTTTCTTTACAGTGATTGTGGTTTATTTTACTGCTCTGGTGTGTTTATTATTTTAGACTGTTATTCATTTCAAAATTATTTATGGAAAGGAGAAAGTGTTTGTTTGAATTGACAACATTAAGGAAATGATATTGGTTATGACTGTGTTAGCGAGCTGAAGGATGGCGTTTGTGCTGTGGATGGTTCCTGTTTCGACAGGCAGATGTTTTCTGGATTGTGCGTCTTCTTGTCATGTTGGTCGTGTGTGTGATGACGTTGTTTCCTTTGTGTGTCTGTTGGTCTTGTTTTGAAAGAGATTTCTTCAAAGTGTCGATTCAAATTCAAGAATCTGAGCAGATTAAATAAACATACAAAACTTAACATTTTCTTTATATGCACACAGATTTTTTATTATTATTATTTTTCTCCATTCCCTTTTCCAGATGTGTGAAAGTTAAAGGAAATGTTTGCAGCTGTCTCTCATTTAACTGAACGTTCGTTGACGGCGTCTTGCTTGGATTTTGTTTTCCGAGCCGTCGGTTGATATTCGAAGCTCTCTGTCTCCTTTTCAGCAGGTAAAAATACTTGTCAGGGTTTAAATATGGCGACTGACTCTGACTCCTGAGTACACAGTGTCTACATTTCCAAGTCTAAAAATAGAGCCAAGGCAGGAATATTGAGCATCTTTCAACAAGGCAAAGGATCTACATGTAAGGAAGCATAACAAGCATGATGAGCAAATATGAGAAATATTCATGCACGCAGGTGAACTTTAATCATATTCACAGCAGGGCTCAGCAGAAATAAAATGAAAATCTCAAAACCTGATGTGGAGCAAAGACAGCAGGACTGTAGATACACTGAGAGCTAATTAGGAAACAAACGCAGGTGAAAGTAATGAGGACGGAGCCGAGGATCGAAGAAGGAGAGCGAGGAACCACAAAGGGGCGCACAACAGAGGTTGTGAAGAGGATTACCAAAATAAAACAGGAAAGAAGCACAACAACACCAAAAACCTGAAGTCCAAAAACAGCTGCAGTTCCTCTGATGGCCACTGGAGGCTCCAGCAGTTCTCCCAGGTTAACGTGTTTACAGACTGATACAAAACACAGCTGTGGTCTGTGTAGGTCCTCCTTCATAAAAACATACAGGAGGATCATTTTAATTTTATAGCTCCTCTAACTGGATGCCATTAAGTTGGGTGGATCGTGTGTTTGATGAAGCGAACGTCTTCACAGGTGCTCACATCAGAATCAGAATGAAGGATGGAGTAAAGCACTAAAGTGGTGCAGTCACAGAATTTTTTATTTATTTTCAACTAAAATTTAAATCTTTAAAATCGGCAGAAAGCTAAAAGTGGACCTGAATCTGCTGTCCCAGCCTCTTCTGTGACTGATAAGATGAAAACTGTTTACCACACAGGATTTACAGCCCCATTCATTCTGCAGTCACTTGAGCGCCCCCTGCAGGAACGAAGAGGGATTTTTGTCCTCCCCTATCAACCACGGGTTTAGTAAGTTGACATCAAAATTTTTGGTGGGGCAGCCAATCAAATTTCTGGTGTGCAGTGCCCCCCGCCCCCCCAGGCTGTCTGCTCTTTAGCTGCAGCCCTGGTTGATCCTTGGATCTCAGTGTTGTTCTGTGTTTTTGCAGATAAGGGGTTAAAATGTAAACAGTTTCTGATTAGATCAGCAGCCTGAACTCATCCGGCATCTCATTAACCAGTTGAAGAAATATCTGTTGAACTTTTTAAAGGAGTTTCTCCTTCCCACTGGTGCCAAAACACTTGCTTATATAGGCTCATGACTCTTGGGGTTTTCTCTGCATTATTGCAGGGTCTTTATCTTGCATATAAAGCACATTGAGGCAACTGTTGTTGTGATTTGGTGCTATAGAAAATAAAATTGAACTGAGTTGAAGTCTTCAAAAAACAGGAACTTTGTCACAAAATCCACAAAATCCAAACTTTAGGAGTTAAAACACGTGAAACAGCCCTGCAGACTCTGAGTCCTCATCACTCCAATATACCATCTGCTTTTGAGCACGTGCACATGACGTGCTCACTCCTGCCTCTCTGAATGTACGCTGCAGTTACCAGCTGCATCCAGCAGAGGGAGGAAGCACGTGGTGAACTGGACCCACCGTGGGGCCAGAGCAGGAAGTGCATGTGGCGGCAGGCCTGGACTGCAGAGCTCAGTCTGCACATGTGAGGCTTTGAGCTCATCTGCGAGCATTCGTGGAAACAAAAGCAGCTTTTATTCGTGTTTTCCCTCTGCTCGCTGTGACACACGCTGAACTACAGGCCAGCGAGCCTCTGTGGGCCGTGGGTACATACTCAGCTTTTCAGGAAGGTTTCTCAGTGAAGTGACCCTGAAGAGCTTGCTGAGTGCTAAAAACGGTGCTTCAGAGCTTCCTTTATTACCTGTTTTATTAGCAGAGGACTCAGGTGAGTGAAACCACGTTAAAACCAATCAGAGGACTTTTAAATAAGTCCTTAAAGTGCAAACACTGAAATACATTTCCTGCACGCAGCAGTGAATTTTATTCGCTAAAAATAATTTTCTCCTCAAAATGCAACATTTGCACTCGCAAAGATTTTTTACATGTGCTCAGAATAGCGGCACAACAAAAACGCCATAGAACTGGACTGAAAATGAGAGAGAGAAGCCGATGCCCGAAGAAAAACTCCGACAGATGCTCAGAAAGTGGAGAACTGTTGCTCAGGAGCACTTCTAGAAAACGAACTGTGGAAGCAAAATATAAAGAAATGAGAAGTCGTTCGACGCTGTGCAAGCGCATCATTAACACCGTGTCCAGCCTCTGAGATTGAACCTGACGATGGAGACCTTTGTCTTAAAAATGTAACCTTTTTTTTTTTTTTAGGTTTTTTATGTGTAAAAATTCCAAGATGTGATGGTGGTTCGTGATTAATTCACCCAAAAGACTGAAAGGCAGCTTAGAAAAGCTACTGGAAGCTGAAAACTGGAGAACCTAAAAATCACTCTGATCAGTTTAATTCAGCTCATATTTATTTATAGAAGTTTTTATGGTGTTCAGAGTTCATCTGTAGGTTTGAAATATAAAGAGACAGAAACACTGACCTCATGGAGGTCAAATACAGGACACACATGCAAATCATAAAACACCATTTAAGAACGGAGTTTATGATTAGTAGTATAAGAAAACTAGAAAAATTCAAATGTAAAGAAATACTGGAAATAATTTGATTTATTCATGATGACGTGAGAGGTGATGAAGCTGCTGCTGAGGGGCTCGACTCTTCTTCAGTGGGAATAAAAAGGATGGTTTAAAGCTGGAGGTGCAGATTAACTCATAATTAACACTCAGTATTTGGATATTTCATATTTCCTGACACGGTGATGCTGTTGCAGCTATTACCCATATACAGACACAGTAACAGCCGCTCTCGCTCAGGTCTCTGCTCTGTGCTACTCTCTGTACACTTATAAATGTGCCTCAAAACCAACCAATCACAGACTTGGATGCAAAGATTCTGATTGGCTGTTTTGGTCTCCAGTCAGCTCGCTAGCTACTGCTTTCCAGAAACATGGTCCAGAATGTAGCTAAAGCCATTTTCGATTAATGTGTTATTTTATTTTAAAATATATAATTTTTTCAGACCATTGTTGGTTTAATCCAGTTTAAACCATCCACTGGATCAGAATAGAGGCACAAAAATAACTCCATACAGTTCTTGTACCTGACCATTTGAAGCATTCAAGCCTTTAAAAGACACCAAACTCTTGGTTAGCTCACAGAGTTTCTGTCTGCATGTAACAAACATAAAATAACATAAAATAGGAATTTTACACCAACAAGGTGATTCTCAAAGAGCGATTGACTAAAACCTCGGTATATCTCAGCTGGGTGTGCAGCGTGCTTTTAAAAACAGCAGATGAAAGTGTCTGAACGGCCTTCAGAAAAAAAAGAAAAGCTAAAGCAAGTGTCTTTACTGGAGTAACTGAAACATAATCCTTTTAATCATGAGAGGGAGAGCAGCAGAAACAGCTGGAAACCTCTGCAGGAGTGTCTCAAACATCAAACTGTGTTTTAAAAATGCTGAATGATTTTTCTCTCTGACGGATTCTTTGCTTCTTTCGTTCGCAGCAGTGTTGAGTGCACGTGAGTGCACGTGAGTGCACGTGAACGGCGGCTCGTTCAAACATCACCGTCAGAGCTCATGGAGAAATCGTCCACCGTCTCTTTACTTAAGCAGTCTGGGAACTGTGGCGTTTCCTCACATATTCTCTTTGCATCATTATGTTACTTCATTGAGGTCAAAGGTCACTGATTTCACCTGTTCAATCATACCTACTGGCTAATTTTCCAGCCTCTTATTGTCAGATGGGCATCGGCACAGCGAGGCTTCTTCTCAGTAGTTTCCTCCTCACCTGTTTATTTGTCATCAGCACCACAGCATCAGTAATGAAAACACACAGGCTCATTCTGATTGGACGGTTTAACATTTTTATTTATTCACTGGCTTTAGTGCACATTGTGCTGCAGCTCTTCTTCTGTGGTTGTTTGTACATAAACTCTTTATTTCCCATTTAAAAAAAAGAGCAGGAGGATTTTTGGCACCTTAAAAAACACATTTCACAAACATCCTCTTCTCCCTCTTTTCTGCATCAGACTGAAGCATCTGTTATCTTTTACTTGGACACAAACAGATCACTGCTGTTCAGGATGACTGGAAATGTCACCAAGCAGCAAACGGTGCATTTCTCTGATAATTCTTAGTCTTGTGTTTTTTATTTATTGAGATTGAGGAAATTAAAAAAGCCAAATTATTTATTCCACTCTTTCTTGCCTTGTACCACCATGTGTGCTGACAACCGTCACAGATTTATGTTAATAAAAAATAATCTCAAAAACGCAACATTTCTCAGGGAAGCTCTGAATTGTTTCCGTTCCTTTAGCCTGTTTTTCATCAACATCATTTTCACACATTAAGGTTTGTAAACTGTCCATTTTTTTAACTTTAAAATATCCTGTTATATAATCAGAACATCAGCTTTCAGTGGTTATTATTATTATTATTATTATTATTTAACATTACCGAGTTACACTCACAGTGACACACTGAGGAGGAAAACACTGTCTCTAACCAGCAATAGTGGGATCTGGGCCCCTCTGCCCCCCCTGGAGTATACGCCCCTTGCTGCAGTGATATAACAACACTTATTTTTAGGAATCGTCGCCACCACAAATCCCCCTGAAGCTATGCCCCTTATTAATAAATACGTTTTTAATGGATCAAAATCTCCATAGCAACCTATAAAATGACTTTAAATCGTCTCCTTTTGACGCATCGTTTACTTTTTAATACCTTTTTCAGTGAGTCTTGTGCAAGTTTTTGTGCTTTAAATACTCTGATCAACATGTTTTCTACTTCTTTTCTAATAAAATCTCAACATGATAAAATACCAGAGGATTCCCTCCACCTCTCTTTACATGATATGAACAGTTGCAGCTGCGCTGAGGCATAGATTGGTCAAAAATACATTATTGACCCTCCTCCTCCTCCTCCTCCTCCTCCTCATTGTCCTCACCGTCGCTCTCCTCTAGCAGTCGGGACTGGTGAGCCAGCCTCTGCGCCACAGCCGTTACCATGGCAGCGCCCGTCCCGCTGCCATCCTCCGAGACGAGAAAGGTGATGTCACACTGAGGGGCGAGCAGGCGCACCGCCTTCTGGAGCTTACTGCTGAAGCTGGAAAAGGAAGGAAAGAGAGAGGGAGGTGTTGAAAGGACAGAACTGCCAGATTTCACCGTTTAATGAGTTGCAAAAAAACAAAACAAGAAATGGGTTTCTCTAATCTACACAAGATCAGAATGATAGCTACAGGCTCAAATCTATGCGTAGACCCCAATGCGGTGCTGAAGGTACTACAGTGTCTATTAAGTCAAGGCCTATTCATATAGTTTCTCTTTGCCAGAATAAAAAGGATCTGATAGCAGATACGGGATTGACCGACTCAGAAAAATGGGAAAGTTTGTAATGTAAAATTACTTACATAGTACATATATTTACCCAAACGCATCAGAACTGTTTACGGGATGAATAAAGCAGGCTAACATTAAGCTTGTGGAAATGCCTTCCCAAAGCCCTGACCCCAACCCTACTGAAAATATGGACTATGCTTAAAAGCCGGGTCTGTGCCAGGAACCCAACCAGTTTAAATGAACTCTACCAAAACTGGCAAGAAAAGTGATCAAATATTCAACCAGAGTTATGGCAGAGGCTTGTCGACGGCTACTAAAAGTGTCTGGTCAAAGTGCAACTTGCTAAAGAAGACTTAACCTAGTATTGATGGGAGTGTATGAATATATCTGAACCTGAATGTACAGAATAGTGCACTCAGTTCTTGTTTTTAAAGTCATTAAAAGTGTACTCTGTACAATCTTTCCAAACAATATTTAAGTATGCCTGTTAGAAAAGACTGGTTACTTAATATCAGCAAACCAACTGAAGTTTGGTGAAATGTTCAAATGTCTTTGCTCTGATCACCAAATGCCTCTTACGTGGGGTGTTTTCTGTACACTGTCCCGTCCACCCCGACAGTGGTCTTCAGGTGGCCCAGTTTGCGGTTGTTACGGATGCGGTTGACGAGGGTTGCCAGGGCGGCAGCACAGAGATAGGCCGAGCGTGAAGAGATAGTGTCGCAGACCAGGCGCACCACAGAGGCGTCGACCAGATCCCAATCCAGACCCAACTCAGTCAGAATCTTCTTGGCGTTCTCCAAACCGCTGTCCGGCCTGAGCACCAGACAAAGTGGTTAGATAATGAAGACCAGGAGAGACTGCTGGAAACAAGGAAAAGGCAAAAGACTCACTCCTCAATCTCAGAGATAAACTTGGTCTCAAACCGTCCTGGGGTCCCCAATGCCTCCGATATCTGTCCTTTAAACAGCAGCTTGTCCTTGGTCATCTTCACCAGCACCAGTCGAACGATTTCTCCCAAATACATGCCGCTGATCATCTTCTCAAAGCTACACGAGAACGCACATAATCAGGACAGAAACTCTCACAAACATTAGCTATCAGTTTCTAACTTCTGCTGTGACAAAAATTATTGTATAGAAGTTGTGTCAAAGACTTATCTGAAGCTGATCACATGAACGGGAGAGGTGTGTTATGATTCTGAATAGTTGTGAAACATACATGTGCACGCCGGGGTTGATGGAGGTCTTGTCCACCTCCACGTCGAACTCAGTCAGGATGTCATCCAAGCATCCGTCATCCCCAAAGCCGCCCCACTCCGTGTTGATGCACATCCGTCCGTCCTTGCCCTCAATACGCTTCACATTCTTTATTTCCTCCATGTAGCAGGCGTTGGTTCCCGTACCTGCAGGACAATGTTGATCTGTCAGTGCGCCCCAGGGTGGCTGTGGTTACAATGCTGCCATCACCAGTGTGTGAATGTGTGTGTGACTGGGTGGATGACTGGATGTGTAAAGCGCTTTAGGGTCCTTAGGGACTAGCAAAGCGCTATACAAATACAGGCCATTTACCATTTAAACCACGAAGCATTTAGCAGCTTAGAAGAGTCAAAATCATAATAAAAGGGAATTATTCGCAACTCCAAATTGACCCCAAAATGTCATAAAATTAAAATATAATTTTCTGATATTTTAAAATATAAAAATTAAAATCTAGGTCTTGGAGGAAGCCCTCCAGATATAGCAATGAACGTTTGGCCCAAATATGGCAAATATGTACACTTGTGGGCCACACCGTTCTGTGACTCCTTCACCTGTGGGCAGATGTCACTTGTCATTCAGACAACATCTGGCTCAGACAGCAGCTCCTGTGACATCATTCTCTGTTGTTTGAGTAAAGTTGGGGGCTTGTCCGGGATTCTGAGCCAAGAAGCATCATAACCAAAGCACAAATCATACTCTAACATCACATATTCCTGCTGCTACTACAGTACTACAAATAACATCTACTTTATAATACTATAACGTAGATGCGTGAACAGTAGCTTTCAATGTAAGCCTGGTATTTATTTTTTTCTTTGGGGACCATCATTTAGATCATTTTGTCTTCAGTAAGACTCAAAAATAGTGACTGAGAAGAAAAACCTTGTCAGGAAACTTTTTACAGGAGGCTGAGTCCATCCTGTATAAAAAGTAAGACTTTCATGTTTTCATGTTTGTGTACTTCTTGCCTTCTTGTGACTGTGGCTCTTTAGGGGTCATTTTCTTCTGCTTTGCGTCTCTTTGTGGTTGTTTTGTGTATCTATATAGCTGCTTTTATGTCTTTGTTGTGGATGTTTTATCCATTCAGTAATTTATTTATGACCTCAATAAACCGACTACTCATCATCTTGTCAGTGTGTTCGGGGCGTGCAGGCAAACACAGCTCAGTCAGACAGATGTGAGGTTTATCTATTTATAAAGCACAACAGCATGGCTGATTAAAGTGCAATAACGGCAAACATAAAAGACCAACACAGACAAAGACATCCCAGAGTGAAATTATGGTTACCAATGATCATGCCGATTTCACAGCTCTGGTCCTTGTAGCCACAGCTCATCATCGTTCCCACTGTGTCGTTCACCATGGCAACCGAGCCAATATGATAGTCCTGCAGAGAAGAAGACAGGCAGACAGGTGCATTTATATCTCGCCTATTCACAAATATCCTGCCTACACAGAGAGAGAAAGTGCCACGGTGCTTTTAATCTGCACCTCAGCAGCATTCACAGAGGGGTGAAGTGGGAAGAATTACTCGCAGATTCAAATATCAGGCCCACAAACAATTTAACATAACATTTTCTGTCAGCACATCAGCACGTGGTGCTACTGGGTTTATCCCTTACTGTTAAGTCCACGTCTCTTTAGACAATGACAGTTTTTTTGTAGCTTTGCCTCTGCACTCGTGGCTGGCATACGAGCTGCAGTTACTCTGATGCTCGAACATCATGAGTGAGTTAGCATCAACTGAAACAGCAATGAGACACACACAAGTCTGCTCTGCAGTGTGTGCAGTGTCACTGAGTGTGTGTGTATAAAGAAACATTGTGCTGAAGGGTAAAACACTAAAGTGCCGCAGCTGGAAGAACGGCTCTGCAGGCCAGAGCTGAAACACATGAATGTGATTTGTGGGAGTGTTTGTGGACCGACCCCTCTCCTGTGAATGGCCTCTTTCAGTAACTGGACCACGTCTTTCCCCTCCACCCCGGAGCAGTTGAAGCCTTTGGTCCAGCGGATCAGGATGCTCTGTGCAGAAAAACACAATTTACAGAATCTATCAGTGACATCGGTGCGAACGCGAGGACTGACACCGAGTTCACCTCAGAAGGAAAATCTGCTTTCAGGAATGTTTGGACTGTAGGAGGAGGCACAGAAACCCGGGGAGAGTCCGGGGTCTCTAAGGGTCAGTCGTCTTGGATCTCTGTGGTAGTTTTTTTTAAGGTTTTGTCTCTTTGTTTATGTTTTCTGCACTTTAGTGAAAGTTTTCTGTCTGTGATTATTTCTGATCATTTTCTTTTCCTTCTAAAAACTCATCTAAACCACCTTTAAAACCACGAACAGCCTAACAGCTACAGGCTGATGTCTCCTCAAACAGCCGAAACACACAGGTCACTGTTGTGTGTGTGTGTGTGTGTGTGTGTGTGTGTGTGTGTGTGTGTGTGTGTGTGTGT